CTTTCCCTGCCAACCATTCCTCAAAGAGACTTCAGCATGGCATATGTTTTTCAGTTGCAGGAGTCATTGCAGGAGCACTGACCACAAGCACGCCACATGCTTTGGTGATGCAGGGGAGACGACATAATGTGCACCTTTATTCTGAATTGGATTCATCTCTAGTATTTTTCTCTAATTCACACGCCCACCAACCAGCCCTCCCAGACTTCACCCTACCAACCTTTTCTGATTGGGTCCTAGCCTGCTCCTAGTGTGAAACACCAGGCGGTCTTCCACATAAATAGTTTGTTGTTTCTTTTGCAAAGACTCGTGAAAAGCTGCGAGTTTGCAATCATGTCACGTACATGGGACATGGTCTTCCCGAGGACTTTTTCATGTATTTGACTGTATTTGTGTTATCGTTTCTGTTATCGTGTTGCTATCGTTTTGGACCCCAAGTATTCACCCATTTTGTTGGCCTTGAACGTAGTATTTTCCGTGTCCGCTTCCATGCTACCGCTACCACTGCAACCCTGTGACTCGGACGTGTAGACATCTTTCGTATGGACACCTGAATCACAACTAAACTGAACTTGCCTCACCATGCTCACGACATGCTCACGACTGAACTGAAGGCATTTGAATGTCTATTCTCTGTACTGTATTTGCATTCATTATATGCTTACTGTATTATCGTGTTGTTTTTTGTTACTCTTTATCATAATGAATCAGCCATGGTTTGCAAAAACGGGACCACTCATTACATTTTTCCTTGGTCGTTTCTTTGTAACATCACATGGTGCAGATTGGTGCAGTATGCCCCACAGCTGAGATACTTATTGAGGAGCCTATGACAAGGGAAAAGAAACAGCAAAGGCATTGTCAGGGAGTGGAGGGAAAGGACAGCAGCGAAGAACAAATTGAAAGGAAACCATGAGTGGAGGGAGGTTGAGTTGAACAAGTACTGTTTCACAATGTTCCATGCAGCAGTTCTAGTCCTCCATCCCACAATGTGAAATCCCTGCGTAGTGGCGGCCCGGGTTGCCAGTACTTGAACAAGGCACTGACTTGGGAAGGGAACAAAACTCTGCGAAGTGTTTATGTGTGTGTGTGTGTCGCGCATTCTTGCTGTGCCCCGCAAAGACGTACATTGTAACCTAAAAGCACACATTTGGAACAACATCAGTGCAAGCATTCTAACTGCCGGCTCACGTTTTGACTTTTCAAACATGCGCCCCCCCATTCTATTTCTTGCGTGTTTTGCGGCTTTTGAGACGCGTTCTATCTCTACATGGGAAAAAAATGGGATTGGGGTATGAACCCCGCATTCTAACTTTCAGCCGTGAATATAGATTGCAATATATAATGGTATTTGGATGTATTTAATTAGTTGTAACTTGCAAGAACAAGTGGGGTTGCTGGCGAAGCTTACCACGGTCGCGGCATTGTGCGATTCAGTTTGGGGAAACAACTACCCAAAGAGCTGCAAAGGGTGAAGCAACGCAAGATCACAGTGCGTAGTAGGAATAATACAGTGCGTAGTTTGGCGCTGGATGTCCGACTGCAGTTGGGCCTTAGGCCTTGGACTTAGTGTACAAGAATGAACAATGCCTTGGTGTTCCTAATGCTCTGAGTGAGCTGGAAAGAAGCCTAAAAAGACAAAACAAGCCGGTGGCTCACACGTGCCAAACAAACAGTGTTGTCCTTGCACATCAAATCTGTCTTCCAATATATTCTAAGACTTTGAGACTACTGGACTCGGAATGGCTCAGTTAAGAATTTAAGCCCTGAAGTCTTAAATCGAAACACAAAGTCTTTCCTCTGATTTTCACACCTTCAAAATCAACTTCTTAAACACACCAGTCAAATCCCAGTCTCCGTTACTTGCATCCAAAGTGCTCAACGTCTTCTCCGGACATACCGGAACGGGCGGAAGTCGACAAATCGTCAACATTGAAATCGTTTCCCAAGTATCCCACCTGGAAGTGCGAGTGAAATGGACGGTTTGCACAAACTCCAACCCATCTGAGATTGCGTGACATTGGACATCTTCCTTTCATGCGTACAAACTGACTGAGATCTTGAGAACCTCAATCGACTCAATCTGGTTAGACAAGATCTCCACCATAGCAAGTGCTTTTTCCAAACAACTTCAGTCGGAGGCCCTGAGGCCCTGAACCAAATCTTCCCTAAACATCTAGGAACCAAATCATTAGTGCGAGCGCTTCTTTATCCCGCGTCCTACCTAGGAGCGAACTTCTCGTAGTAAGCTTACTTCTCCCTTAAGATTAAGTAAGCGCCTAATTACTCAATTAAGTAAGAGCGGGCTGAAAAGAAAAAAGAAGCCCTGAGGCCAAGCCATCTGCGCTAGGCCGTCCGCGCCTCAAATCCCTCGAATCCGTGTGACAAATCTTGTGGTCCCATTGACCGGAGCTCAGCGATGCCTGCCACGAGCATGACACGGCTTCAGTGTTGAAGTGTGGACACATAAACATATTGCAGTAAGACTCGAGATAAACCCTTGATAACCAAAGTTGGAAAAAACACTACGGCGAATGTGGATGATATCATATCAATGCTTGTGATGTTTCTCATGGCTACTCTCACCCAGTCTTTTGCGAATCCACTGAACTGTCGGAATCCACCCCTCCCAGACTCTCTGAGAGGGACAGACCGTGTGCGTGAGTGCATGACTCGCCGTATGGACAGCGCATGAACCTCAGATTCAAAACTTGGCTCTTTTTCCTATGAAGAAGCTGAAGAAATCGCCGGAATCAAACACTCACGCAACAGGCGGAAAAAAATCGGAGTAGTTGAGCCAGAAGGCTTTTGGGCTGAAAGTAGTGCAGTAGTTAAGAGAGCCCTATATTACCAAAGGCAGCAGCCTTGTCTCCAGTTGAATGGGCGTAAATGATGGAGCGGACGACACAATATAACACTGAAACATATCTGCAATGAGGAGACCCTTGGTATCCCTTGGTGCTGTCTAACTGCCTACAGCCATCGACAAACTTTCAAACTGAGGAATCCACATCTGGTAAGATGAGCACAGCCTGCGGAGAAAGGGACCGGACAGACTTACCGAGGAACTACCCCGATGAGCAATGGCGCATGCATGTTGATGTTCTGGCAGGGTCAATACGACTTTATCCAAGCTAGCAGCTAGCAGGATCACGTCCTGCCGGCTGGCGTGGTTTCTGGAGAGGTCAGCGCTTTGAGTGTGCACAGCGCGCCCCTAATCGTCTTACGTATACCAGGTTTCTATATACAATCCCACAAGATTTAGATGCCTGGAGAAGACCCATGACTGCCTCTGTTCGAACTTGCGACGCTGACTACGTGAATTGTTCTGTGCCCGCCCAAATCTGTCCAAATGTGCGGAATCACATGGGCCATTTAAATACTGTATACGGTATACGGATAGAACTTGTATTTCATACCACCTCCAAGCAGCTTCGCGATGGCCGGCCCGCCGCATTTTATGTGTGATTATATACTCGATGACATCGATTTGTTGACGCATGCACTGTTGCAATATGAGATGAATCACAAGTGCCTTGTCTTGTGGAGGTCAGGGCGAGGACGTAGTTGATCGACTCCATGTGCAAAGGTGCACCGATTCCCACGTGTGCATTTTCCTTCCTGGGCACATAGGAACTTGGACATGACATGCCAAATCTCTCCCACAGCGATCTCGGTTTAGGAAAACAATGGAGGAAATCCTGACAAAAGGCAAGTCACTAGTCTGACTAAACCAGGGCGAGCAACCGCTCTTTTTCAGTTGGTAAAGCAAGCCGGCAAACTCTCCCTCCATCCATCTACACCGCTCAAAAAATAAAACATCTTTACAACGCATTGGCCATAGGAACTTTCATGCTTTAGTAACTTTTGCATTTGGGTTCTGTGGGGGTTATCGCTTGGATGTGCCTTGCCAAGATTCCATGAAAAATGCACAAAGCTCGGTTTGCTTCACTGATTGCCTCTTCTCCGCGCGGCGCGATCGTCTAGGAGCACCTGCAGCCGAGTATATGTTGCCAAGCTCGAGTCGGACAAAGGTACCCAAAGGTGGTAAGGTTGGGAGTTTGCCAATTGACTTGTATAAATACTGTCTGTATATGTGTATAAAAATATGACTATGAATATATTACAGTATATTGTTTTTCAATAGGGAGACACCCGACTGGTCTATTTCCCTTCTTCCAGGGTCTTTAGGAGGTCTCCCTATTCTTGTACACACCCATATGATCCCATATGGCTAATCTGTGACTATGGCACTGAAACAAGGAAAACATACATCACCAAACCATTCATACCGTGGACTCGGACATGATTATTCTTGATCGATTCGACCGCACCTGTGCCACCAAGACTACAACGGCTCGATATGCCACCAACGCGAGGATTCCATGTTCTCAATCTTTTTCACACTTGTTCTAAGTTCAAATATTCATCTCTCACATGGTTCAAGTCCCACCCACTGGGACACCCCCACCTGCTGGATGCACCATGCCAAGATCGAATCGCTGCTTAAATCTTGCGGGAGGAAGCGTCGCAACTCGTTTGAGCCGGAGGGGAAAGCTGCGGTTCATTGCTTGGATTCATATCCACACACTCCTGACCGAGACTTGCTCCACTTGCGAAGCCATTTTGTGCGAATCTTCAAGAGACCTTAAAGCTTTGCCAGGTCAATCATTCAGTCTCCTTTCTTTTTGTGAGGACCGGCAACAAAGCAACAGGAGGCATTTCAAGTTCCATATATAAGAAGCAATGGACTCCAAATGACATTGGAATGCCTTTGCTTAAAAAAACAACAAAACACACGAGGAATGACCAAAAACCATGTACAAATCTGTGCAACCTTGGGCCTTGTGATTTGACATGTGCCCAAATGGATGGACACGGGTCTACAGTAGTCTACAGCATTCATGTGAACCAGGGAAGCACCCTTGATGAGAAAATTGAAGAAATCAAGCCATCGTCGGGGGGGGGCTTAAGGATACTCGAGGCATAGAGCCGGGCTCCTCCGGAGGTATGCAAAGTTTTCTTCAGAGAAGTTGAGGCTGATTGCAGCCTCATGCTCGTTCTTGCGCTCAGTTAGCCTCAAACATGGAACGTCGTCCACAGGCACGTAGTTATACAATTGGAACTCCTCTCGCTACCATAAAACCTGATGATCTTGATGTTCAAGGCCAAAGACCCATGGAACATCTTAGTCCTGAATGATTCTACCCGGCACATCGCCACATCAGTTAAAACAATCTGGAGTTCAAGCAGGAACTAGGCGGAACTGTAGCTGTGACAACAACAACAACAACACTGTGTGCAGCTCCTTGGCTTCCGCACCGCCCTTGCTCGATCATCATCTGAAAAAAATCATGAAACCTTAGAAGCAGAACAAGAAACTACTAGGAGCAAAGGGCATCGCTACTAGGAGCAAGGACGCTACTAGGGGCTACTGGCCGTACTACTAGGACCAATGTTCGCTATTATATAAAAACACTTTAATAGGGTGTGCTCTCGGTCCCCATATGACACGGCCAAGGACCGCTGCCCGAGCTGCCCGAAGCTTTGAACATCCAACCCGCATTGGAGCTTCGAAACTCGACCAGAACGGAAGATAAAACGATCGTATGTTTCCTGACCAGGATTGCCCATGGAGAACAGGACATGATAAAAGGACATGATCCAGCAAGGTCATTGAACGGTTATTCCCTTTAAGGAGGGCCTATCGCCTTTGCAGGCTTTAGCCAAACTCCTGAAATTCACGATAATTGCTCTCTACTGAATTGGTCATCGCACATTTTAGCAGTTGCTCATGTGGGGGCATGGACAACTGCACCAACCTTTGTCTTGTTGGGTTTTACTCTACAAATTCATCAAAGCTGCAACTTCATCCATTTGATCAGATACGGATCGGTGACTGGCAAATCACGGATCGGTCGCTCGGTCGCCAGGATCGGTCACCGGAGGTAAAGCGAACGCAAGTGAAACAAACGAAGCCGACCATACCGGATCGGTCGCCAGGATCAGTCACCAGAGAGGTCTAGGGAAGGCAAGGAAAACAAACCAAACCGAC